CTATTTGGGGCTTAGGGTTCCTTGGGGTTTCTGTCTTTAAGATAGCCTGTCTTTCACTAGCAGCTTTGCTTCACTTCTAGCCATCAAGCACAAGTTGCGCTGCATGATAGGAAAGGCACGTGGTCACGGCCATCAATTTCAAGGACGATGACTCTCCTAAGTGGCGGCGGGACCCAGATGCAGGGATTGCAAAGCCAATGTGCGCATCGCAGTGGCGGCATGTGGGCTTTCAAACTTCAATTTTGGTTGCGGATGCCTGGTCTTTCTCTTTCTCTCTCGCTCTTTTTGTCGCTTTCTTGCCATTTTCAATTCCGGCATTCCTGCATTAGGTTTGCTTACACCGGTATTTGTGGGCGTGTGCCTGTGCAATTCTCATGGCCAGCCTGGGCTGCAGACTTTGCAGCTGATGCTTCATGATCCTTAGAGGAGGCTTAGAAGACCTGGTTCATGCGCCTCCGGCTTTGTGCTTCAGGTTGGTTGTTGCCTTCGGCCCTGAGACTGAAGCCTCAGGCACGTTGCAGAGTCTAGCTAGGCCAAAGGTGTAACCTGCCTGTCAGATATCAAGAACAGTGCATGAATGTTGCTTGATGCCTGGCAGGGAGGAAATACTTCATCCGAATATGGCCGCCATCTCAGAGAAACGCCAATGGTGCGACGCAGGTATAACATTGTGGGATATTCCACTTCCGGCCTCGCAGGTGGCTGCCTTTGTATGAGGGCGCTTATCTAAGTACGCAAGTAGTATCCTCAAAAGAAACCGTGAGCTCCCGCAAGTGAGAGGGGTACATGCACCTAGCGTCAGGAGTTGCGAAGCTGGCGCGGCTCTGAGATTGTGAGCCGCATTGCGCGCAGTATTCAAGAAGAGCAATAGTCGCAAGAAGGGCAAGAAGTAGGTACAAGGTACTCAGACGGCTCATCTAGGTCGAAGAATCCTTTCACTGAAAATGAACAGGCGGATGCCGCTGTTCAACTTGGCATGATAATGCTCTTCGGACGTAAACATGTTGTGGAGCAAGACCGTCCACCACAATGTTGCTCAGAGTTGAGCTAGGAGAGAAAGACCCACAGAATTGTTATTGTGCCCTGAGTCGCTTGATATTGTGTGTGGCTTGCAGTGCCTCTCATTTCCGCGCTGTTCAGATACGCGGGCAGATCGGCCAGCATTTGGTCTGTGCTTTGCTTAGTCCTTGGCAGCATCTTATGCAAGCAGTGCCCAGGCAATAGTTCAGGCCTGCAAGTTGTGCCCGGGGTGGTTGGGTGGGGGCCTATGCAACGGCGCAAGGATGGATTTGCCTCGTACCGTGCGAGTGGAGGACAGGAATGCGGCAAGCAACAGCTTGTGTCTGATGCGGGATGCGGTGTAAAGACTCTGTTGCTGCCCTGGAGGTATCTCGCAAACACAGTGATGCCTGCTTGCTCAAAGTTCCCACCGAGTTGAAGGGCTTTCGGCATGTGCTTATGACCATCAACACTGCAAGCAAGAGCGACTCATGTCCAAGTGCTCTCCAAGCCAGCATAAGACAACTTTCAGGCCTGAAAGCTGTATTCTCCTTTTGGAACAGCCTTTAAGACTTTACTCTGAGGGTAGGAAGCAATCTGATGTCCAGCAGCAGGACTCTGTCCTCTCCCTGGAAGATCATGCCAGCGGCTCAGATGAGCAGCCCCTTCAGAACAAGCGGGCTTTCACAAGGGGTTTGCCACTTGAAGGCCAAACTAACCATGGGAATACATTAATCTCTTCCGAGAGAAGGGACCCGGCTTAACGCTTTTGAAGGCCATGGTAGCTGGTCAAGGCAACACTGTTTTTGGCGCCAGGAGGCAGCTCCACGCCTGTGGAAGGATGTGCTGTTCACATTTCCTGCTCGACATGAGTCAATGAGGCTGCGCCTGTGACCTACCTAGAAGTCCTTGCCTCAGGAGTGATGTTCGTAGCGGCACCACACCGCATACGGGCATACATTTAACTTCACTGCCCTAATGCTTCTTTACAAAGATAATTCCACGAAGTGCCCCTGCTTACTTGCAACCTGAGACTGGAGCTGGCGAACCAAACTAAAGGTTGCTGCTGGCCCATACTGATTCGAACTGTGTTCCTTGTAATTGTGTTCTTTGCATTTTAGCGGTGGATAAGCGTTTAATTGTTGAAAGGGAGAGAGCACAGGGCGCTGCATCCTTTCCTGAATTCGCATTGAAATGGCCGGCTTGCTGAGACAAACTCCCTGTACCTCGTCTCCTGCGATGCTGCCGGGGAGCGCAGAGCCCAGCAGCATTATATTGTGGGTAAATCAAGCTTAGCTGGATCCAGTTCACATGCAAGAACGAGCTGCCAGACGTACAGTCGGTACCGATGGCTTTAGGTTGAGTAAGCACTTGGAATGCTTCCAGCCAACGCCCAGGCGCTGAAAGCACGCTAGAAAATATTGATTTGGGCGTCGCTAAGGTGCAAGGTGTTCCAGAAGAACAGGCAAACCTGGCATCCAAATGTAACCTACGGAGAAATAGCCCAATAGTAGTTTCCATTTTATTTTCCATTATCCCAATAACCCCCATATAACCTAATAGTAGTTTCCATTTTATTTTCCATTATCCCTATATAACCCCTATATACTAATCCCTTAAAAACTGTTTTGGGCACTGAAAAGTCCCTTCATCTGCCAGGTCTTGCGTATTGAAGGTAACAGCCCGGCTACACAAGCCCGTAGCTCGGTCCTGCCTCCGGGATGTGGATGTTTCTCAAAAGCAGTTGAATTATAGGAGATAAGGGTTTAGGGTTCAGGGTTTGGGGTTTGGGGTTTAGGGTTTAGGGTTTAGGGTTCAGGGTTTAGGGTTTGGGGTTTAGGGTTTAGGGTTTGGGGTTTAGGGTTTAGGGATGATGTAGGAATGGGTCATGGAAGCCCAGTACGCTGTAAAGCGACTGGACGCCCCTAGAAGCGGCACACCCAACTTAGCCCTGTTGGACAGGCCCTTTACTCTATAAAACCCCTGGACCTGAACCCTAAACCCAACAATCAAGAATTAGTTCTGACCCTAGGCGACAGGATTGCCTGAAAGCGACGCGCCACGTGATACGACCCAACTCAGCCATCCTTCGCACATCATTTGGGGCTTTCCCGAAGTAGGGGAGACGTTCTGGGGGTCCCCTTGATGAGGATTATAGTGTTTGCGGGTCTACACTGGGGGGTCCCCGAATTTGGGGAAGCTACCATTTGTGCACATCTGTCCGAGACTTTCATGTCAAGTTCTGTATGATCTTCACGCCCACTCTTGAGTCTGTAGGGGGCCTGTTCTGGACTTCGGTGTGGACAAAAACTTCATCTACTCCCTGGGTGAGGAGAAGCCGCTCCTGCAAGTATCCGAACTTGCTGTGCCAGTCATAGATACATGAAAGCAGTGGCTGTAGGACCTAAACATCCGGATTTGGGCGCTGTCTGACCTGAAGCAAGTGCTGGTGATCCCGGCAGACCGCATACAGGCAGTACATCTGCGGAGCAACTCCTTTGGATTTTGACTTGGCAATCAGGGCCTTCCTCTTCACGAAAGCACTGCGCATCGATTGGCTTCGGGCATGTAGATGTCAAATGAGGGTTGTGCTAAAACCGTGCTTTTTGTGCAGCAATTTGCAACACAGGGTTCCAGGGTTGTGGCGGACGGCGCGCGAAAACGCAGGTAAAGGTCCTGAGTGGCTTATCTTGGACTGGTGAACCAGAACACCATTTAGCTGCGCGCGAAAGACCGCGAAAGCAATGGTTGAGGGATCTTCGTAGAGCGTCCATATTTGCGCAAAATGTACTGATTTCCGTTTGTTCTGCCCGGGACCTGTGCTACTCCAGCTTTAGCCTTGCTTGAAAATCTTGAACCAGCATCAATCAGCATCCTGCAATGTGCAAGTGGCCAACAGGTGTATGCTTTGTTATGATGGGCATTTCTCGAAAGGCACCGAAGGAAGCAGTGGGTAGATGTTTGCGGGGAATCGTGGGAGGCAGAAGAATCAGCAACACCCTTCACCAGAAGCCTTTGTGGCGGTCTCCATGAGGGCTGCAAGTTTTGGAGTTCGAAGTCCCAAAGCAACTTTGCAAGTCGAAACAGAAAAGATACTGGGCTTTTTGCAGGCTTCTAGAAACCCATAAGCTAACTTGAAGCTGTGTAGATGGTTCAGACTTCATGCAATCCTTCAAAATCGGCAGGCCGAAACCCTGAAGCAAAAAGTCTTGAAGCAAGCCACCATCAGTATCCACTATGAAAGTTGTTTGCCCGCGAGGCATCGGTACTCACAGGCCAAGAAGGGCAAGCCATTCCTTTGGCAGTGCTGCCTGCCATTCAGGACAGCCTGTGTGGACAGCCCATGCATGTGCTGAAATCTTCTACACATCAAGTAGCAGTGTAGAGCAAAGAGGCCGAGTAGGCGTCAAAGTCCAAATGTGGGGCAGAACTGGGGGAGGGAAAGAACATGGTTTCTGAGCCAGACATAGATCATCCACTGTCAATGCGCACCTGCCCCCACGCAGGACACTCCTCGTGAGAGTGCACAGGGAGCAAGCCCTAATCATCAAGATCCAACGCCGGGCCCTGTGCAACATTGTATCTTGGCCCGCGCTGCTACACTTGCCAGCTGCGTTTGAAAACAGAATAGTGCATGTCTGTAGGTGTCTCCAGCTGTCTGCGCTGACAGCTGTGAAGCGTCCACTGTCGAGATGGGCTGGTGCGCAGGTGCGCAGTTTCCTGGTTCCTGCCGCGGCGGTAGCGATGCAAAGCTTCTTCAGCTGATGAAACTCTCAGCTGCTAGCAAGGCCTCCACTCGAAGCAGCACACAGACCATGCCGCGCGGTGCGCTGTTTGCCCGGGACCTAAGCTTCGCGCGTGAAAGCGTTATTGCACAGAACAGTCACGGCCCTGTGAAGAATGAATTCATAGCATTAGATCTAGCAAAAATGGTCTTGCTGCATCTTCTGATAAGCGCGCATCGATACCGTCCCAGGTGGCGGGGGTCATTGCAAAGGGCCAATGCTCCGCAGCGCCCTTACTTCACAGACCGATGCTGCGAAAGCTGCAATTCATAGTAAGAGTCAAAAGTGCATGGTGTTCGTTGTGCGTCGACGGCTCATGACATCAGTGTTTTCAAGGTCCAGAACAGTAGCAGCCCATGGTAATGCGGAACCGGAGCTGGGCGGGACCATTGCAGCCAATCTCCTAAAGCTTTTTCTAGAATCAAGTTGTTAATATGACCATTATTATTACTATGCTATAATCATGATTATTCTTTCTATTATGATCACTATTATTTTTGCCCCTACTCTTCGCAAGAAAAGTTAGGACCGCAGACAGGTGGGCATGGTTTATCTTCCAGATGTGGTGGGCGAAAGCAGCATGCAAAGCATATGTTGTCGTGGCCAGTGGCCGCTCAGGCGGACAGCGCCGGCATCCTCATGGACTGCGGCCAGTGCAATTTCGTCTGGGGAGGGCTCTTTGTGTTTAACTCAGAGGGCTCTAGACTGAGTTCTCTTCCAGGCAACCACGCCAGCTTGAAGCAGATATGATACTGCAAGCATAGGCAGCTGCTTGATGAATGCATGCTGCGCGAGGAGTGGAGCCTCAGTCCAACACCAGTCTGTCAGAGACTCGCTGGCAAGACGTCCACTGATGAACTGAACCAGCTTCCGAACAGAATGAAAGAGAGCGGGTAACGATAATTCATCAGATTATCCAAGGAGTTGCCTCCGGTTCACATACCCTTGAACAGAATAGAACGGTGCAAGTTCCGCCATTGATGTCGAAAGGTATCCAAGGCCTGTAAGTCGTGCAGCCGACCTAGCCAGTCTTGTCATTCATAACCATGTCCACTGAAGGGTCACACTTGCACAGCTCAGTAGAGTGCCAAAGCTCAGGAGTGCGATCATTGCACATGCAGGAAGCCTAGCATGTTCAGTGGCGCACAGCAAAAGTCTGAAATCTATACAACTGTGCTTCTGGGCCTGCTTGTGTTTGGTGCGTGACTCTTGCCTGCCCACTCCTTTACGAGCTCAGGACTTGCCAATAGCGTGTGGGCCTTTTCCTGCTGAGTGTTCAGAGAGTCTTCAGCTGGAGATGCCTGTTGAGACTGGACACTTTAAAATCAACATGAGGAGTTGCACGTGGTCTGACATATTTGTGTATGGCAGTGTATGGAGCCTTGAGGCCCGTCTGTCAGCGAAACTAAGGACCATGGCATATGGTCCCTGTGACAACGGCCCACTCATCACCGCTGACATGCGAGGGCTGTGCCGGATTTGGGACTGCACGCCGAGGTGCCTTGGGCAGTGTGTAGGCGGCTGAAATCATACTAGGATTCAGGGAGAATGGAAAAGAACATGGAAACTACTATAGTATAATAGGGCATATTGCGGATTATATAGGGAGAATGGAATAGAAAATGGAATACTACTATGGAGCTTTGGCCCCACTATCCTGACCATCTTTTCGGCATAGTTGAAGTTGGGTGAAGTGCATGCCTGTAGCCCACATGTATCAGCAGCCTAGGCCTAGCCCTTGGGCATTTGAGGTTCCAAACAAGCAGCAGTTGCAACAGGAAAATGATGAAACAGAGGGGTCGGCTCAACCAGGCTGAGATGTTCCCAGCAGATCGAGGCGGCGTACTTAGGCCATCCCAGATTCTCACCACCTTTGCAGTTACGGGAGCTGCGCTTGAGGCACTTGTCTCTAGTCTGATTGCTGACGTGCAATAGCAAAGCAGCTCGTTGGCTAGAGTCTGGAGAGAGCGCCATGCTGAGCCCCAGCCAGCCTTCAATTTTGAAATTCTTGCTATCTTGCTTCCTGGGGAGGAGTTGGCAACTTTCGGCTTGCTAGTCGAGTTCGTCTTGCCTTGGACCGCGATCTTTTGTCAGCGTAGCATTCTCCCGTGCGCTTCATACTTCCGGATAGGTTGGATCAGTGGAGGTAGGTGCTTGTAAAGAGTAGCGGGCGATGGTTTGGAGCTTGTCATATTTACAAAGTCTTGAGAGGTTTGGATGTTGTGAGGCAAGCTTTTGCAGGCTCAGAACTCTCAAGACTGTTGCGTCAAACTAGAAGCAGTACATCCTGAGCCACCTCCAGCAGGCAGCCATGTAACATGTTTAGCCTTCGTTGCATGCGCAGAACACAGAGAGATTTCATTGGCCTCGGAACCAGCTCAGGAACCACAGGCCCAATTCATGCTGAGAATGGTCTTTGGATTCCAAACTTGAGGATCCCATGAACTATGCCATCTTTGCGGTTGCTGGGGAGAAGAGGTGGCCCCACTTGCCAGGAAGCTAAGGGTCGTGTCTTCTGGTGCATTTACCTAATTGAAAAGCATGAAAGCAATCATGACATGGGCAATGCGTACTTCAGCATTTTGCGGCTGCTATATTTTCCTGGACACGGACCCACCTACTCGCAGCAAGTACCTAGAATCATCCATGTATATTCATGTGCTCTGGGGCACGCGCTCTGAGCTTTGTTTAAACGAAGTTGCCTATGCCCATGCAATCTTGCCCCGTACTTTCTGATGAGAGCCTGCATGGTCATTTCTGGTGAGCCGTGCTGGCAGGCTACTGGTTTGGCAGCAGAGGCCCAGCCACAGCTCTAACAGTTATTGCAAAGCAGGCGGCCTCCTCCACAGCGACACTAAGCTACACCTGTCTTTGTCGCGGATGCTTATGCTGCAGGCAGACGGTTTCGTCAGGCTTCCGCACTGACCTGTGATCGTGGAGAGCCGTGCGGCTGGATTGATTGTGAATGAAACACGTTTGGCGCGCTGCTTCTTAGCGACGGAAGCTTCTTGCAGTAGAATCTTGTCCTGCCTAACGCACTGTAGGCTTCAAGGGCAACATTCTGGGGAACACGATGTCGACGCTTAGGGGAAGCACTTGCATCTTTAGCATCATGACGCCTTATGGAGTTTTGGCCCCGCTCGTGTTGGATATTATGTGCCTTTCCTCCGGTGCGTTGCTGAGACATGCTGAGACCACGGCGTGTGAGTGGATTGCTCCCCCAGATCCGTCAATGCCTGCCCCATAGAAAGCCCGGCAGTTGAGAAGCATAAGCAGTATCTCTGCATAACCTGAGTCATAGTGAGCATTTCTTCTTGTGGCTGCGCAGGCCACAAGTGGCTCTGGAGGAAGGAGGGTGGGGTTTGGACTGCCTGTCAGTCCCAGTAGCGCTACCGAGCAATGGCGTGGGATATGGGCCCAAGACTTAGATGCATATATACCATGATATGTTATAATATACCATGATATGCCATAATATACTATTATCGTGCTCAGCAAGTTCTCCTGACGAAGTGACTCGTCTGAGGCTTTAACATCCAGTGGGCCCAACGCATCGAGAAAGAGGCTGGTTGAAGTTATACAGCTTTTCGACAAGTTCACCAAACATCCAGCAAACCCAGCGGATTGAAGGTGATCAAGCTTGTGCAACAAAGCCTGGGAAGCTAATGTCTATGAAGCTAGGCATGAAACTTGGGTAAGTAATTAATGGCCCGGGCATGATAAAATCACATACACATCTCTACCGGGGTCTAAGGGACCTGTGGCGTGCCCGCGCTTTGCAGGAGCGGAGCTTCATAAACGGAGCGCAGATGAAGGCATCCCACTTTTCATTGGAAGCTCTCGAGGTTTTATCAAGTCCTGTCTGTCAATTGTTGGCAGTTGTTTCTTGTCTCTGAGTATGCATCTCAATTCTGCGTGGACAAATTGCATCCGTTGACGATGTGGAGACACTTTTGCTGCGCGTGGTGTGTCGGGCTGAGATGCGCTGAGGAGAAGATGGAGCGAGCTGCCGACAAGGACACCAACGAGTAGGTTTTTGCCGGTGGACTAAACCCTAAACTCTAAATAGATCTAAATAGTAGTGTCCATTTTCTTTTTCATTATCCCAAATATCCCCTATAGACCCCCTACTCGCGCCCCGCCCAAACTGTCAGCAAACAGTCGTGTTCAAGCGGCACAGCTTTGGCATGAGGACCTGAGGAGAGCTCGGCGAAGTCATCGGCATAGGCGCGGCAGCGTAGAGTTGTACAATCCCGCAATGTCGACCTAATTAATAGACCCCGTCCTTTTAAGGGCCGTAATGTTAGGATCACTATTACAATGCCTATTAAGGGGAGGGGGCTTATTAATCAGGGGTCTACATTTTGCAACTTGCGTCCAACATATAATTCGCTGTTCCTAGCAGCAGCTTTCCCAGCCACACTGCGCTGGGTATGCCAGCAAGATTCCGGCATGCAACAGCAGACAGTGTTGTATTGACCACAAGCTCAGACAGTTGTTTTTCCCCAGTCGGCACTTCAGCTTGCCAGGAGTGGCTCGAGCAGATGTTCCGAAGCATCTAGTCCACTCTCCTTCGCAGGCAATTCCGTCGAAGCAGCAGACTACTATAAGGCAATCGCTGCCCTAGCAATAAAGGTCGCGCCCCTTACAGCTGGAGTGATAGTCGCTTTCCCGAGCCGGAAGGTTTTTGTTGAGGTGATACTCCTTGACTTCGCAGGTGCCAATCAATTTCTTGTTTTTCAGCGCACTCATTGTCTTACAAAGCGGAAGAATCCCCAAGTTCTCATCAAAGTTCCTTTAGACTGGCCCATTTGTAACACCTTCCTCATTTTGAAGCAACAAGCATCTTGGAAATCGATCTTGAAGAGTTGTTGCAAAGCTTCACTCAAGGCACATAAGTCCGGGTACCAAACTTGGGCTGTTGCGGCCTTGACATGGCAGCAGGTAACTTGCAGCACCTGCACTTCCGGGGCCACACTCCTTGTGAGCATGCGCCCATAATTGCCATAATTATTGTTGCTTAAACCTGAGCTCGCTGGCTCGCCAGGCAGTGCTAGCGTAAGCAGTGGCTCTCACTATGCTCCCTCGTCATCCTGGCAGACTTTGGGGACCCTGCGTGCAACGTTTTTCCTTACAGCTAGTGTCCCTCGCCGGCAAGTTCTACGGTTGAACTGCAAGCACATGTGTTGCACAGTTCCAGCTCTTGAAGTCTTTACAAAGCTTGATGATGATTCTTCGTGCTGACCGCTGCCAGGGAGATGCAAAAGTCTGTTTCAGAGGTGGGGCAGATCGTGGGCAGATCGTGTGAGCCGGCATCTGTCGCAGTGGGGATTCTTCCTTGGCGCTGGCGTTTTGTGGCACGTGCTCATTGCAATAATCAACAGCTCCATCACAGTTGTTAGTTTTGTTGCTTGCTCGTCGAGGTCTGAGAGTCTGAGAAAATCCCTTTTTGTGACAAGTATGCTGAAGACACGATGTCCATTTGGACAGGCATTGTTGCACTTGTTTGGTAAGTTTGCTTTCCGGCAGTGATTTTTGCGACGCGCCTTGAGATTATTATCATTTTGCAGTGAGCCTCCGCTTGCGACGGGGTTGTGGTGGTTGTTGTTGTTGTTGCTGTTATGCTGCCTGCAAAGGCCCCTGCTACCAATTCGCCGTGATTACTACAGGAGAACAGCAAGGGTTCTATTCCTATCATACCGGTCTTAGATTCAACGTATTGCGCCTCACTCCTTTAAGGGTTCCTGGCTTCATGAGTCTGATGTCCAATCAGAGATCTTTGTGCAGTCCGCGCTGGTTCCAGACAAGTTCAAAGCAGCGGCACACTTCCCAGCCTGGAGCCCGAGCTCTCTGCAGGGGCAATAGTTTGGACATGAAGTTCATCGCGGTAAAAAGTGCCAGAAGATGACACAATCTGGCAGACGCAATGTTATATGAAAGCGCAGCAAGACTTAGGCCAGACCCTGCCAAACAAGTGTTCTTGTCTTATTGATTTACTGCCATGCCAGCTGGTCGAAAAAGACCTCGTCACCGCGCGGGTGAAGCCAACTACGGATGGGACTGCCTTTGCCCCAGAAGATAGAATTGCCGACGCAGCGGCCCACTAATGGTCCCACTTGATATTGCATCACACTGGCAAGCAACATGGAAACATCACATTTAGGTCTTGTATGTATGAAAGATAGCACCAGTCTGCACGTCGTGCACTGTGAAGGAATGCGAGCCAATCCTTTTGAGCCAGCAGGTGCCAAAAATCTCCTTCCAGCCAGAGAAGGCACAGACTGCAATTCATGCTGCATGACTAAGTTTGTGGCGGAACCTGCGGGCGATGGTGAATACACATTGTGTATGACATGTGCAAAGATTCCTTTAAACTTTGAACCGTTGGTTTTCAAGCCCGTGGCAGGTCAAAGCCCTGTGGTGGCCAGGGAAGCAACACTACGTGAAGTATCATCCGCAATTCTCATTCGAGGTTGGCCGGCTACGGGACTTCCCATGATTCCATTGCACATGATTGATTGATGTAGCGAGCGGAGGCTGATTGTTCACAAGTGCCTACGCGCCATATTTGTGAATCTTTGCTAAGACAAGTTGCAGGAAATCACCTGGCTCATATGGTAGATTCCCAAAATA